ATAATATAATACATGAGCATGATGAATAGCCCTTTAGCAAAACTAAGAGCACTTGAGGACCTTGGGAAATGTAGACTGCTGACTGGCTTGAAGAGGTAATGATTTGTACTCTTAATTAGGAAAGGGGAGAGGGCTGTTTACTTTTGTTTGACAACCACTGTGTCTGCCTGCACTCAATCAAAAAGCAGCTTGAAACCCCTAGGACTGCAGTCTCTGGTTCTTTTAAATTTCAGAATTAAAAATTTAGCATTCATGAAAGAGCTGGTGCCTGCTAGGGCCCTGGCAGCAGGGCTGGTGCCAGTTGTCTTCTGATCCCATCTGTTAAGTCCCTGCTGTTCCAGCCCTTGGCACACCTAGCAGACAGAGACCAGCATCAAATCCCCCCTCAGATATTATGCGGCGGCTTCTGCTCTGTGACTCAAAAGGTCTTTCTCTCTTCCCCGAGACTGTAACATGGCCACTAGCTCTTTGTGCGGATGAGGAAATTCATCCATATTTCTGGATGGGGTTTCTGAGGTTCTCCCCCCACTACATCCCTGGTCCTGTGGCCTTAACAGCTGCCAGCACATAAAAATTGCAGTGATTTTGTGTGTATGTGTTGGGGGAGATTCTCTGTGCTTTGAAAAGAATTAAAACCTTGTCATTTTTTCTTTAAAGAAACCTACAGTGAGCCCTTGGTACCTGTTGGGGTTTGGTTCCAGGACATCCCCCCCCCCCATAGATACCAAAATTAGTGGATGCTTAAGTCCCATTGAATACAGAGGCCAAGTAAAATGGTGTCCCTTATATAAAATGGCAAAATCAAGGTTTGCTTTTTTTTGGAATTTATATATTTTAAAAATATTTTCAAGCTGTGGATACTTGAATCCATAGATAAAAATAATCTGTGGATATGGCAGACCAACTGTATTTAGACCTGCACCCAGACACCAAGAATTCCAATTTTTTATTTTATTGGCAAATTTCTATAACACCGTAGTATAATTCTGAGGTGACTCACGGGGAAAGTTGTCAGAGCCCCATGATGGCCAGATACTTGCAATTGTAAGGGCTAAGCCATTTACCAAATAACTGAGGAAGGGAAATGCTAGATGATCAGTTAGTTGGCAATTCAGACTTTTTAAATGTCTTCTTTTTTTCCTCCCACAGAGTAAAGCACTTTGGCCTAGGAACGTTGATCCTGAAATGCCCCCTTTTCATCTGTCAGTTTGGGGAAAAATTGTTCTAACATGATGGCATGAAAATAGCAGATGATGGCCACAATGACAATTTATCATGAGTGCTGGAAAATGAGTACTTGTCACTTACTGGTCCCTTTGACTTTATCTTGGGGTCCTGAACGCACACTATTCCAACATAGGCTGTCCAGTTTAGCCATGGGCATCTCACCAACAGGGCTGCTAAATCACCAGAAGACTCTTCCTAGCCTGCTCTTACAATGTGATATGCAGCAATAAGCCACTGAAGATTTCCATGGCATGGAGATAAGCATTCTTAGTGGCTCATTCCTGCAGATCACACAGCGGTTAAAATCACAGCTGCAGATGCCAATTAAAAATTTGGCAACCTTACCCATAATTGGGGGTGTGTGTGACTCTTGAGCACAAACTAATTATTCATAGGTCTAATTCTATACATTGAGACCAGAGTCTTGTTGGTGCTGGCATATGACATTCTTGGGAGTAGTGCATAATGGTGGCAGGGAGATAGCAGAGGAAAACTGCTTCTGTCATGAAAGAAAGCTGTGTTGCCATCTCCCAAGCAGCTCAGGAACTGGCAGTGCAGCTTTTTCTCCTGACAGAGCCAGCTTTCTTGGCTGTTGTCTTCCTCCTGCTCCTTGTCATCACAATGCCCAGCCGCCCTCCTGTCCGTTGTGCTAGCATAGTTAGAGGATGGCAGAAAATGTTTTTTTCCCATGGCACAATGGCATGCCAATAGACTTCGTCCTATTGGTTTCATGCATTGCTCATGAATGACAATATTACTGGTGAAAACTTGTTCTGATGTGAAGCTCTTTTAACCATAAGCCACACGCCAATGCAATATTCAGTACTGTGGAGGGCCAGTGTGGTGTAGTGGTTTGAGTGTTGCACTAGGACACTGGGGTACCAGGGTTCGAATCCCTGCTTGGCCATAGAAACTTGATGGGTGACCTAGGGCAAGTGACACTCTTTCAGCCTCAGAGGAAGGCAATGGCAAATATCCTCTGAACAAATCTTTCCAAAAAAAGCCCTGTGATAGGTTCACCTTAGGGTTGCCATAACTCAGAAATGACTTGAAGACACACAACAGTGACAATGCTGTAGTGTAACTTTCTTGTTTTTTTCCTTATCTGCACTTGTTCCTTTATAGTACATACAGGTGAGGCTTTTCCTAACATAGTGGTCAGTGAGGGAACACATTTCATCTACACTTGTCCCTCCAGTTTGGCGGACTTGGAATCCGTGGTTTCGCTCTTTGCAGGAGGGACAAATGGCTATGAAAAAATGGCCGCACATACATTTCCTATGGGACTCGAATATGTGAGTTACCATTTTTGCAGCGTGTGTGTGTCCGGAACGGATCACCTGCATATTGGGAGGGTCTACTGTAGTTCCTTTCACTGTGCTGGGTAGCTATGAGAAAGGAGGAAACAACATGAGATCGCATTGTGTTTCCCCACACTACTAGGGGTGTGTGGGACTTTCCCCCCAAATGTTTTTGGAAATGTTACTTTTAAGATTGCCCAGTGTGTGGCTAGATCAATAAAGACACATGGACAACCTTGTATAGGGACAGAGCTTCCCCCAATTGGGGGAGGGAGACCAGGCAGAGGACAATAAATGCTATTTGAGACAGGCACTTAAATCGCCTTGCTCATTTTTGTCTTCCATGGTGAGGCTGAACATCTCACGACAGCTTTAGTCTATTTTGCATCCAAGTTCTGCTTTCCACCACTAGAGTGTGCCTGAGCTTTGGAAATTAAGCCTTTCTAGTATGTCTCTGTATAATTAATTAAAAACACTGCTTAAAAATTACATTCAGCACCTTCTCCAAGCAATTTCAATTAGATTTGACAGGCCTGTCAATTACAGTTTTGGAGGGTGAAAAGAAAAAAAAATCCCACAAAGCTGCTTTATGAGCTGTTCCTGAGATCATACCTGCCTTGTCCTCCCTCCTCTTCCGCTGTTTCTTTCTGCAGCCCACCTTGCCTTAAAATTATGCTCTGCATCTGATGATTTTAGTCCCACTGGCAGCTGGTGTCATTTGCAAAACTTGAAGGATTTGCAAACAATCGCACAAAAGGCTTGCCCAGATCAAGAGCTGATCCAGACTATCCTGGCTAAGGCGGCAATCCCACCCCCTTTCTCCTTTCTCCCATAATCCTACCCCTATGCTACGGTTGTGGCCACTTCACCCTTTTCCTTCTGAGATGAGAATCTCTCAAGCTTGTAATCCTCACACTGACTGGGAAGAGCTGGCTGAGAAAGCTGCTTTTGGCCAGAATTACCTGAATGTTTGCTAGTCTAGGGAGCTTTCATTTGCATTTACTGCTGTTGAAACACTCACCGTGTTTTAGTAAGAGATGTCCTCCAGGTGCTGGTAGAGCAGCGGCAAAACGCAGGATGGCATCCTTTCCCTCCCTTGCATGATTGACAGTGCTCTCTCTCTTTTTAAATAGATCCCTTATTTTAATTTTGTTTTTCAAGCAGGAGGCTTGTGATGTGCCAGGAGAGGTGGTTTCCTGATTTATACCTGCAAAAGAGGTCACTCCTTAGCCTATTCATTCACCCATCACAGTAACCTTTGGAATTATCCTGGGCTCTCTTTAGAACAGCATGTGAGCAGCATAGCAATAAGACGCGCACACCTGCTGACATGCTCTGCCAGCACTTTATGCATTATAGATACATTCAGCCAACAAATCCGCATGGCACAAACTGCTGTCACCGGATGGCCTCTTTTCCCTCATCAATGAAATACTGCAGGTGGAAATCGGGAGTCACTCCCACCTACCACGAGAGGCTGGCAAATTTGGGGAAAGATAAAAATAGAAACAAAGGAACACACTGAAGGCAAGCGGGAGTCTTGCCAGATGCTAAAAAGATCATGTCCCTGTAGCTTCTTGGTTGTCGTTGTGCAGACAAGAGAACTGCTGCTGCTGGAAACCATTCATGTTTGGGTTCATAGGCAAGGGGATGCCTCCCTTTAACCCAGTGCAGTGGCTCCCTACCCAGTTCCTTAGCTAGGACCAGTTTCTTGTCCTTGCCTTCAAAGCCCTTCCCTTCCTTTATCTCCCTGCCCTCAATATCCAGATAAATCTTTCCCTTTTCCCTTTGTTCTTTCAAATCAATTAGAACCAGCCACCCAGCTTCACACCATGGCCCTTGCTGCTCTCCAGGTTTGCAATGCCCTCACACTTGACATTTTTGTGCTGCTTGCTCTTGATTATGCTTCTGATCCTTCTTCAAAATCCACCTTTCCCATAAAAAGTGGCAATCTATGTGCTCTACCAGAAAATCAGCATATCTCCATGAATTGCCCTCCTTTCCTTCTTAACAGTAACAGGGTTATTATTATTTTGCACAGGAAGGGGAGATGTTAGGAAATAAATACTCCCTCAAGCATTTCCCAGGAGAGCTCAGAATAAAAAGCAAAACAGATTCCAAACTGAGCCAAGGAGATTCTGCTTATCCCTGATCCTTCCTGTAACCTCTGTGTATTAACGTCTATGATCTAAAGAGAAACCTGAATATAATACTCGTATTAATAGCACAGCAACAATACTATCAGTAAGACTATTAAAGTCTAAATACTATTAATTAATTACACTTAATACTATTAAGGTAATCACAGAGCTGTCCTTTAAACAGCAGATATTCAGGACGTTTTAAGCATTGCTTTCCAAAACTATGGAAACTTCCTATTTGTTGAGGTCACAGCTCAGGCAGTGCATAGTGATGAGTTTTAAATATGCAATGGGGAGATGCGAGTTCAAATCCTCACTCAGCTGTGAAGCTCATTGGAAGACCTTTGGGCATTCAGTAATCTCTCAACTTATCCTGGCAGGATTTTAGTGAAGATAAAAGCAGAAGGGATACTCCAGTTCACTGCCTTCAACTCCTTGGATGAAAAGGAGATAAAATATTGGTTCTTCATTGAGGGAAAGTTAACTAGATGCAGCAGGGCTTGGATGGTGCTGGTTTATACATAAACAAGTGAGGAATCAAAAAGGAAGGTGAGGATAAGTTTAGGACAGGAAAAGCTACACCTTTCCATTTTTGTTTCTATAAATTCTACAGGTGTTTCATTGAATCACAGAGTTGGAAGGGATCTCAAGGGCAATCAAGTCCATCTTGCCATGCAGAAATACACAACTACAACACTCCTGAAAGACACCCATGCAACCTCAATTTAAAGACCTCAAAATAAAGAGTTCACCACATTCTAAAGGCAGTCTAGTTCACTGATGAACAGTTATTATAGTCAAGAAGTTCTTCCTAATGTTTAGATGGAATTTTATTGTGTGGAATTTTAATCCACTGGTTTGTGTTTTAGTGTTTAGAGCAGCAGAAAATAAGCTTGCTCCATCATCTACATGACATCCCTTCAGGATCATAACATCGTATCACTTCCCAATCTTCTCTTCTTTGAGCTAAACACGCCCAGATAGCTCTTTAAGCCATTCCTCGCAGGGCTTGGTTTCCAGACCTTTAGTGCTGCATTGTGTAAATGCAAGATTTACAGCAGGAGCAACAATATATGTAAATTGTTCATAAAAAACACTGTAAGTTGACCAGCCTCCTATATTGAATCTTCACAGTAGTAACACTATATTACGGACGCATTTAGGACCCCAAATGCCATAGTGAAGGCCTGGCCAACAGCACAGGACCCCTTGGAGCACTGCTGGGCTAACATGAGGGGTTGGAACAGAGGGGACATGGAGTAGCATCTGATGCAGGTCGTCACACATCACACATCAGTCCCACTGTACTACCCAGTTGTTTTGTAGACTCACCCCATCTGCCCTCAGTGGTCTGGGTTGGAGTAACATTGGTGTGCTATTCTTACATACATCATGAGACTGACTCTCGTGCCAGGTGTGTTACAGTGAATAATAATAATAATAATAATAAATTTTTATTTATATCCCGCCCCT